GGATGTGGAGAGACTGGGACACTCCTGCATTGCTGGAGGGAATGCAAAATGGTTCAACCTCCCTGGAAAGCAATATGGTGCTTCCTCAGAAGGTTGGGAATAGAAATACCTTATGATCCAGCAATTCCTCTACTTGGTATTTACCTACAAGAAATACAAGCTATAACACAAGTAGATATATGCACACCAATGTTCATAGCAGCACTTTTTAAAATAGCAAAAAGATGTAGACAGCCAAAGTGCCCATCAACTGAAGAATGGATAAACAAACTGTGGTACATACACACAATGGAATATTATGCTACCTTGAAGACGAACAAGGAAGATGCAAGCCACCACATAATATGGATGAACCTTGAGGACATTACACTGAGTGAAATTAGTCATTCACAAAAGGAGAAATACTGCATAGGACCACTACTGTAAAAGACTAAGAAAAAGAACTCATACTAAAGGGGTGGATTCTTTGATGGTTGCTGGAATGTGGGTGGTGGGGTGAGGGAAGGTAGGAGAAGGTGGAGCACAGGGCAGGGAATAGACACAGAATAGTTTGGGTGCTGGGGAGGGGGGTAATATACAAGAAGGGGAAGGGGAATGGAAGAACAAAGTGGGTGGGAGAACAATTAGACAGGCTTGCATGGGCTAAGTGGAACAGAGGTAAATAATGATATATACACAATCTTGGAACAACAGGGCTCTGGGATACAGGGATTGAGACATGGTTGGAATGGGTAAAAGAGAATAATGTTAAGATGCTTGGCTGTCTTTTGAATCTTGGTTTTCCTTGCATTATATTATAAAATAGACACTGGAGAGAGAGAGAGAAAGAGAGAGAGAGAGAGAAAGGAATAGCCAGAAATATCACCATAGAAAGCTTGTAAGTCCATCTTCTGCCTATAACTGATTGGAATACCTAAAATGGGGCTATAATGTGCCCAGTGAAGGAGGCTTCCTGTGGAGCCTCTGCATTATATAAGAGCATAGGTGGAATCCTGAACAGCATCCAGAATCTTCAGAGATGGAAAATCTCCACTTGAAAGATAAGCAGACAAGCCTGGAGCAGCTAGAAGAACAGAAGATACTTCTTGAAAGAAAGACCTACAGGAGAAATACAAAACAATATAAGCAGGCCGACTGATTACTACAAGAACAAGCAAGTTGCTCGCCCAGAAGACATCAAGGCAAGTGGTCAGGTCCCCTCAGAGCAAACTTCCAAGACTTAAGACTCAATGGGAATAAACGCTCTGATTGGTGACCAATAAGGGGAAGTGAGGGGAAAACAGCAATGAAGCTGCAAGCTAAACCCTACAATGTTCCATGTTCAACAGAAGAATGGATAAACAAACTGTGGTACATACACACAATGGAATATTATGCTACCTTAAAGAAAAACAAGGAAGCTGAAAGCTACTATATAACATGGATGAACCTTGAGGACATTATGCTGAGTGAAATTAGTCAGTCACAAAATGAGAAATGCTGCATAGGACCATTATTGTACAAGATTAAGAAAAAGAACTCGCCGTAAGGGAAATATATATATATATATACAAGAACACCCATAGTTGCAGATAGTACCCACTTGACCGGGCTTCAATATATATATTTGCTGATCACCAAGATGTGTGGGATGAGGTAAGTGAAAGGGAGGGAGGGGAAGTTAGATCACAGGGTAGGGAATAGACACAGGATAGCTTGGGTGCTGGGGGGTGGGGGAACAATACACAAGAAAGGGGAGGGGAATGGAAGAACAAGACAGATGGGAGAACAGTTAGGCAGGTTTACATGGGCTAAGTGAGTCAGAGGTAAATGATGATGTATGCACAACCTTGGAACAACAGGGCTCCAGGATACAGGGATTGAGGCATGGTTTGAATGGGTAAAAGAGAATAATGTTAAGATGCTTGGCTGTCTTTTGAATCTTGGTTTCCTTTGTCAACCATTGTAAAATAGACACTTGATGGGAGAGAAAGGAATAGCCAGAAACATCACAATAGAAAGCTTGTAAGTCTATCTTCAGCCTACAACTGATTGGAATACCTTAAACGGGTCTAGAAGTTGCCCAGTGAAAGAGGCTTCCTGTGGACCCTTTGCATTGCATAAGACTATAGGTGGAATCCTGAATCCCCTCCAGAATCTTCTGAGGTGGGAAATTTCCACTTGAAAGGACAAGTAGGCCAACCTAGAGCAGCTAGAAGAACAGAAGATAACTTCGTGAAAGAAAGACCAACAAGAAAAATCAAAAACAATAATGGCAGTCTGATTGACTACTATAAGAACAAGCAAGCTGTTCACTCAGGAGCCATCAAGGCAAGTGGTCTGGTCCCTCAGGACAAACCCCCTTCCAAGATCAGGACTCAAGGGGAATACACAAGCAGGCAGGCATGTGATCTGGCTGATGACCACGCTGGTCACCGACAAGAGGAAGAGGGGGAAAAACAGCAGTGAAGTTGGGAGCTAAGTCGGACCACATTCAATAGACTCCTGTAAACCCGGGTGGATACCTGGTTGGCCAGCAGTATGGCAAGACCCGGGGACACCTGGGCTCAGAGGCAGTGACATGGCCACAGAAGACTAGAGCAGAAAGTGAAGCATCCAGCTGATATGAAGTTAGGGGAGATGCACAAGAACACCCATAGTTGCAGATAGTACCCATTTGACCGGGCTTCAATGGCTGGATAATCAGAACTGGACAAGAAGACGGAAAAAAAAGAGTAACCCACTACGATTTGATGAACTTTACCTATACTTGTGGATGTGGTAGTTCAAAAAAGGGACAAAATTTTTCAGGGAGGAACAATTCCACCCCATCAGTATACAGAGTTGACAGGGATGGGCAAGCTAGACATTGGCTACCCAAAATGGGGAGGGGGGAGGAGGCTACAAGGGAAAGAAGTGACTGGCTTACAAGCTTTCAAGAGGGAGCCTAGTTTCAGATGGGGCGGGTGAAGGTAGAATCTCCTCTCAATAATTTCCAACCTGTTGGGACAAGGCTAATGAAAAGAGATGGGGATAAGACTTGTAGGGTACAATAGTGAATAATTGCTATCAGGACTGATTGTGAGGGTCCGAAATGTAAAGGGAGATGTTTTGTAGCAAAAGGAGGGGAGTGACTGATTTTGCAGTCCAGGAATGGAGGTCCCTAGGACCATCAAGTAAAAAGAGCGGAGTGAGGGACCATACCCAGAGAAGCGCTAACACCAGAAATGGAGGCAAAGACAATGAAGGGGACAGATGGAGCGGTTGGGGACACTGGACTCTGGGAGGGAGAGGGGCTGTGTGCTGACCGCTGGAGAGCAGACCTGTGGGGTGTACCCTTTGGTTGTTTGATGATGCATGGAGAGGATTGTAATCATTGCAATGAAATGAAATATGATAGGATGAATGTAAAACTGATATTCTCCCATGTAAACCCACATAATTCACAATAAAAACTAAAAAAGAATCTGAGTTACATCATGTGAATGCTTAAATCTTCTCACTGCAGTAACCTATGCAGCTTTAATTCCTCTTATAAAATTACTCCACTATATTATTAATCTGAAATTAATTCTTGTAATTCTATAGCAGTTTGTGCTTTTTGCACCAGAACACCAGCCCCCTCTCTTTCTCCTCTCCCCTCAGGAGCTAAAGCAAGGCTTCCAGGGAATCTAGGCTTCAGCCTCTAGAGTTGAAGGAGGTCTCCTTCATCTTTAGTCACCACCCTGAAAGCATCTGCCCTTCTCCTTTCAGGGCAGAGGGTATGGTGTGGGGTAGTTTAGGGAAATGGCAGGTGATTTAGTCCTCTGACTTGTTTTGGTAGAAGTAGACATGGTAGCTCAGTGGTTAAGAGATGGACTGCTACTAACTGAAAAAAAAAAAAAAAAAAAAAAGGTGGTTCTAGCCCATCAGTTGCCCCTCCTCCTAGGGAGAAATGGCTTCCATAATATTTGCAGTCTTGAAAACCCTATAGGGTAGTTCTCCTCTGTGTAGAATGACTGTCACAGAGGATGACTCTGAATACCAGGGATGAAACACTTGTCAGTTCTTGGAATTGTGCACTCTGTAAATGTTGCCTCTAAGTGCATTGTTCAGAAAAGTCCTGCAGGTCTAATTTGGTAAACTTAAAACTAAATTTTAAAATAACAACTGCAACTCACTAGGTGCTTTACAAAGAATACGACTTTCCCTGAATGATGACTCAACCTAGTGTTCATTACTGTGTGTCCGTGTGGATCAGTGCCTGGCAGTAGCAGATGCTGTATCGATCTACCTGTGCACTGAACAAATAGTAAATGTACCATAAACGGAGGCCAGGAGAAAGCACGGGTTCTCTTACCACAGAGTCCTTGAGTCTGGCGGGCAAGGCAGTATAGGGCGCCATAGACACACCTGCAGAGACGGCAGCTTCGTACAGTCCATGTTCCGTGTGCTAGCGCACCGCATTCACTGAAGAGGACGTGGAGAGAACATCAGCACTATACATATATAGCTTGTGCACACCACGTCCTACCCCGCGTCCATTAGTTCCCCACTGCGCCCCTTTACAACGCATCTCTCCGCCCCGCCCCCGGCCTTCTCCCCCAGCTTCCCCTTTCCCCAGCCACGTGCTCACAGGCACTCTATCTTACCCCTGTTCCCCTCCAGCAAGCCTCTGGTCCAGGATCCCCAGTACCCCACCCCAAGGCATTCTTTCACACCCTCTCCCCACCCCCACCCACCTGGACCGCACCACCTACCCCCTTCCTCCCAGCCCACCTGCGCCTCAGGTCGTGCTCGCATTGGCGGCCGGTGAAGTGGCGAGGACACGCGCAGAAACTGCCCAAGACACAAGTTCCGCCATTCATGCAGCAGCGAGACTGCGGAGCCACACCTATGGGGGTCAAGCGTGAGCCCTGCGTCCCTCCCTCCAGGTTATCCTGGATCTGAAGAGGACCTAAGAAAATTGCCCCAGTACCCAATAAAAAAACAACTCTGCCTGGTGTTTGCTCCTGTAAACACTGCTTGTTAATTTAGATGTTAAAAACAAACTGCTAGGAGTGCAGACCAATCTGAAAGGAACCCAAGGTAAGACGGAAATCCTGTGTCCAGCAAATTAAGTTTGTTTCTTCCTTTCACATGTTAATATTGGGCTGTGACTTCACCTGGCAGTGATTAAGGACCCAGCCGCCAGAGCAGGGACCACACACGTGAGTAGAGAAACCAAGCTTTTTCTAGAGCTCGAAGTCTGGAACCTGAAAGTCTATGATAAGCCAAGCAGGGACCGCTGTTATCTTGGCTTGGTATATTTGTTTTACGTACAGTCAAATTACAATACCTGGATCTGCAGAAAAATACCCGTTGCAAATGCAACGTTTTGCCAGTGAAACAGTAAAAAGTTTTGAAGAGCAATACAAGAGGACTAAAAAATATTAACTTTATAACGTATCAACATTTGAAGATGATGTTGTCTGTTGGACTTTTTATTTGTATCCTTAATTTATACTAGGAGCTCTGGTAGCGTAGTGGTTACAAATCGGGCTGCTAACATTAAGGCCAGCAGTTCGAAATTACCAGCTGCTTCGCGGGAGAAAGATGAGGCTTTCTACTCCCGTAAAGATTTACACCTTTGGAAACCCTGTACAGGGTCGCTATGGGTCGGAACCGACTCGACGGCACTTAACAACAACAACAACAACAACCGCGGGAGAAAGATGAGGCGTTTTACTCCCGTAAAGATTTACAGCCTCGGAAACCCGACTTGATGGCACTTAACAACAACAACAATTTATACTAGGTTTTCCAGATCAGCAGGAAGTCCACAAGGAGCTCTGGTAGCGTAGTGGTTATGAGTCGGGCTGCTAACCTCAAGGTCAGCAGTTCGAAACTACCAGTGGTTCCATAGGAGAAAGGTGAGGCTTTGTGCTCCCATAAAGATTTACAGCCTCGGAAACCCTATGCAGGATCTCTATGAGTCGGTACCGACTCCATGGTACACCACCACCACAGGCCACCACAGGAAGTCCACAGACCAGTAAGAATGCAAAGGCTTTCTGGGCTGAGCCTTGACTTACTCTCTGGAGGCTGCCTCCAGCCCTCTGAGCTTCCATTCACTTCACTAAAGTTGTTTAAGGTCCAGTTGAGAGTTTCTTGCTCAGGCTTCTGGGTTGTAGCATTGTTGATTGCTTCTTTACCTCCCTTATGTTTCTGTTGATAACCTTTTAAACACATTAAAAATACCACATTGATGATGACTGAAAAATATATTTTGCAATGAAAAATGAAGAGACTATAAATAAAATGCTTCTTACTGTTTCCCAAATGGATGATCTGTAGTGCCACACTGATTATAATCAGAAGCCTAGAATATTTA